CTTCTTGGGAATTATGGAATGGCGGTGCTATGGTGCAAACTATTACTGCCATCTGTGATCTCGTGCGTAATTACCCTAACCTGCAACTGTTCTAGGTCATTGACCCTATGGGTACCTCGTGTACTTCCATACCCGCCTCTACACCTACCTCTGTGCCTGCCTCCGTGCCTGTCTCTGTGCTTGTTTCTATGTCTCTCTTTCCAAATTACTCACTCTATGGGTACCACGTGTACTTCCGTCCCCGCCTCTGCACCTGTCTTTGTGTCTGCCTCCACACCTGTCTCCATGCCCGTTTTTGTGTCTGTCTCCGTGCCTACCTCCATGTCTGTCACCATGCCTGCTTTAGTCTTTATTCCCCCACATGCTGCACTAACACCTTGTGACCTCCTTTGTGAGATCACTGACACAATTACACTTGGTTTTTGAAAGCATCGGCTTTGTCGTCATCACAACAACCGTATAATTTTCCGGGCCCGTTGTCGGCAGGGATGCCACCTGTATCTGGATTGTGAACATCCTCGACATCCAGCAGCAGTATGTCCCATCTGTGCCTGCGGGCACTATAGCGAATGTGCACTTAACTGTGATGGTGAACGCCCCACAATCGTCATGGTCTGCAACCGGCATGCCCTCTGTCGTGCATGCTTCAGAGGTATGGTATGGTTAATGCTAGCCGCCTTGGCTCCTGCTGTGACGAAGTTGCTTACCTGAATGGTTTTCGTCCTGTCGATCAGCGGGAGGGCTGCTACCATCGCCCGCATCCTTATGACAGTTGTCCTATCTGTCGTGAGGGTCTTACTTAGACGTACCTTGCACCCTGACAAAAATGTGCAGGTGCGATGAAAAGAGTGTACAAGAATGTGCAAAGGTGGGAACCCCTTCACGAGAACTGTGAAGAATGTAGTAAAAGAAGAACATAAGTTTGTGTCATTTTATTTTGTTTGTACCGTGCACCCTAACACCCTCAAAAAAAAAGTCCGAAGGGTAAAAATGAGGATGAAAAATGAAGAAGGAAGTGCAAGGGCTGAAAAGCGAACGTGGTAGACTCTTCACCAAACTGCAAATTTGTGAAAGAAAGAAGAATGCATTAAAAGAAACAAGATGTTTGTATCAACATTTTTTATTTTTTCTCCCTCTGCTTATTGGTTTTCCTTTTCTGCTCCTCTCTTCCTTGTGTTTAACACCTCTTCCTTCACTTCGCCTCTTTAGCGTGCAAGTGGTTTGTTATGGCATACGGGGATGGGGCCAGCTCGCACTCAACTTCATCAACGTGGCGAGCCTTGTACGTTAGAGGCACAGTGGAGGAGGCGTTAAGAAGACTGAGAAACTGAATGATTTCAATGTGTCTTTGTTTTTTATTTTTATCCCTTGATTCAGTGTAATTTTTTTTGTAAACACTGAAAGAAATAATAATATTGTGAAACAAAGAATAAAAGGACACTGTTTTATGTCATTCAGGTTTGTCTGTCTGTCCTTTCATTTTTCTTTTCTTCGCTCATCTTATTTCTTCTTCTACTTCACGTGCGTACGCTCTTAGTCAGTAATTTTGTGACTATATGTATATATATATATACATATATATATACATATGCAGGGATTCAGGACGGGGGTGCAGCGCTACCGGGAGCGCTGCACCCCACCTGGGCCGAAGCAACGGAGAGAGGACGCGCGTCGGGGTGGAAGCCACAGAGCGATTAGCGAGTTCGCCACAACTTAGCGGAGGGCGCATCGCGAGACTCCATTGAGGCGAGGTAGGAGGGGCGTGTGGTTGGCAGGGGGTGGTGGATGTCATGTCGGGGAAGGCGCGAGTGATGGTGCATGGTGGGGAGGGTGCTGGTAGGATATGACGAGTAATGGAAGGTAGGATGCCACGTGGCATGGGTGGGTTGTTGGGGTTAGAGTGAAAATAAGAGAAAGTGTGTATATCGAAGAGATTTTGTTCTCCTACTTCAGCCTCTATTTCTTTGTCTCTTATTTCGTCTCATCTGGCTGTTTGAGGATCGTTGTATATGGATTGAACTCTCTGTGAGGCGCGTTGACCACAAGGGTTAACGGGTAGCTGAAAATTCAGGAATGAAAATTATGAAGTGAGAGTTTTGGGCAGTTTGAAAATCCTGAATGGTCCTGAAGTGGTGGAAGGTCCGAAGACCCTGAAAACCATTTGTTTAGGCAGGTAGCATCCTGAAGTGGTGAAGGGTGTCCTGAAGTGGTGAAAGGTCCGAAGACCCTGAAAACCACCTGTTTAGGCAAGCTGCATCTTGAAGTGGTGAAGGGTGTCCTGAAGTGGTGATGAAAAATACGATTGTTGTTAACCTTCTCTCGCGTTGACGGGCTTGACGTTGTCACTCAGAACACAATCGCCTTCAAGAAGTTTTAGGGAGGCGACGGTGTCCTATTAATCTCTTCTGGCCAGCGCATTTCGCCATGCGGCTGCACTGGCACTGGCTATGGGGAGGAGAAGGTGCTTCTCTCCCAGGAAGAAGCAAGGGATGAGTTTGGTCGAGATAGCGGTCTGGCAGTTGGATCAGGGGATAGCGGGAGTGGAGCGTTTCCTGTCTTCACGAGGCGAAGGGATCTCGGCATGCAGCAGCTTGTCGATACTGTTCTAAATCTCCATAGTAGATCTGATAGGTAGTAATTTGGTTTTATCTGAGTCATATCCTCATTTTGTTTTTCGAATCTTGTTCCATCCTTAATTTGCGTACCTGGTAGATAGGTATCTGACTTCTAGTTCTGTAAGCTCAAACTTCTGAATCCACTCGTCATCGCATCTATCTTGAAATATTTTTGATTCTGTTATAAAACTATCTTCTAAAATACTCTTTAAACTCTTATCAAGCACGATTTCGAACAGATTCTCTAAAACTTTTCCTCAAATATGTGCCTAACGTCTTCTCCAAACGATTCTCAAACCGAAGTTTGAGATTCTATTTCGAAAATCCTTCTTGGATATCTATACCTAAAATTCGTATGTTTTTTTTTCTAATCACATGTGTCTAACCTTTAGTTT